GCCGACACAGTGTGGATGAGGGTAGCACTGGCCTCAGGAGCAGGGCCCTGGGCTGAGGGAGGTGGATTGGGTTGGAAGTGGCCCTGAGCCAGGAGGAGCACCTCCCCACAAGCTCTCCCTGGTTAACTGCCCTATGGCTTTCAGGACACCTTGTCCTTCTTTCCCTTGAAGGGAGGTGGGAGTGTTCAGAGCACCCCATAGCAGAGCCTCCAGGCCCGGCCAGCTGGGGCTGGAACTGTTTTCTGGGCTCACTCTCATCATTGGCCATGGCAGCTTCTGGAGGTTAGCTGGTGACTTAGCTGGTGACACTGCCCAGAGAGGCCAGGAGAATTGGCCTTGATCCAAAGATTCGGTGGTAAGCTCTCCTTCAGCATAGGGCATCCAAGAGTGGCAGGGCTGTTGGGTGGCATAGCACCCCTTTGAGGCACCCAGGATCTGAGGCCATGTGAGCCCTGTGCTCCTGGGCCTGACTAATGCCTGTCCAGCATCGGGTGCTCACAGCCAAAGGCCTGAGGGTGTGAGACCTGGGACAGAGGTCATAGTATTGTTTGAGCAAGGCTCTATAAGTGGCCTTTGCGGTGGAGTTCCACTGAGGCTGCAAGGCTAGTTGCTGTGTTTTGCAAACAGCAGTGGGCTGGAGCTCAGGGCAGGGCCAGACCTCTCACGGCTGGCATGGCTCCTGGAGACGCCCTAGGCTGGGGGGTGGGCACCAGGCTCCAGCCCAGTCCTGTTCCTGGGTCTGCTCTGGTGTGCCACCACTCCTCAGCAGCTCCTACTGCCTGCTGGCCTGGGCCCGGCCCGGCCTGTCAGCATGGTCGGGACCCTCTGGGGTCTGGCCACAGCTGCCTCCTGAGCCCAGCCCTGCTCTCCTCTGCCTGTGCCACCCTTCTGGGCACAACTCTGCCTTTTTGGTAAGGCACCTCTGGGTTCCTGGCAGCCCCAGCCCAGCCCTCTGTGGGCAGCAGCACCGTGGCTGTGGCCTGTGCCCATGTGGCCTCCTGGTAGCCCCAAGGCTACCTTGGTTCTCCTGAGGCATCTCTGGAAGCGTGGTCTGCGGATGGCAAACAGGAAAGAGCCCTTTACCTAAAGGAAAATGTGTGTCCAGAAAGGGCTTGGGAGGTGGTGGACTGGCCCTGGTGTGCCCACGTGGTGTATGTCCTCCAGGGACATGGCATGCTGGTGTCTCCTAAGCCTGGGAGTGGGAAGCTTTACAGAGAGTCCCAGGGTTGGCACGGTGACTGTGGCCTCTGCTGTGGGACAGGTGCAGGAGAACTCCCCAGCCCAGCAGGCAGGCCTGGAGCCCTACTTGCTTCATCATCACCATTGGGCACTCGCGACTGGTGAGGCTCCATGACCCGGCCACTGCCGTGCACATCCTGGCCTGGGGGAGGCCCCCCACCAGGGCTGCGTGCTGTGAGTGGCGCCCCTGCTCCAGCTCCTGCCCTACGTGGGGGCCCTGGAGTCAGTGTGCTGTCCCCACAGAATAAGGAGAACGACACGTTGAAGGCCCTGCTGAAGGCCAATGTGGAAAAGCCCGTGAAGCTTCAGGTGTTCAGCACCAAGACCATGAAGGTGCGGGAGGTGGAGGTGGTGCCTAGCAACATGTGGGGTGGCCAGGGCCTGCTGGGCGCCAGCGTGCGCTTCTGCAGCTTCCGCCGGGCCAGTGAGCACGTGTGGCGTGTGCTGGTGAGTGTCTGGGCAAGGGGGTGGTGGGGAGGGGTTCGCCTTCATGACCAGTGCCCAGTCCCCTGCTGAGCACAGCTGGTTGTCCCTGAGGGCACCCTGCTGCTTTCAGCATCGGGCTTGCTCACCTTCCACCTCAGACCCCTAGGCTGGGACATGGGACTCCGCCTGCTGCTAGGGCAGCTGCTGCTCTGGGTCTTCCCAGGGAAGCTTTGTCAGCTCCCAGCGGCATGTTCTTTCCGTAGGTGCTGGGATGGGACTGTAGTGAGTCTCGGGGAGGGGGCTGTCCCAGGCGCTGCTTCAGTGTCTGTTCACACAACATGTACGTCTGCTGACGTGCCAGGCTCTGAGCTTGGTCCTTCCGGCTTGGAGGACAGAGGACAGGGTCCTGCTTGCTCCCCGGAAGGCAGCTCCCCTGCCCTCCTGGTCCAGTGGCAAGGCCCGGCTCGGCTCTCTCCCAGGATGTGGAGCCCTCCTCGCCTGCCTCCCTCGCTGGCCTGCGCCCCTACACAGACTATGTGGTTGGCTCAGACCAGATCCTCCAGGAGGTGAGGAATACGCAGTCCCCAAACCTGGGTTGGGTGGAGAGGCCTCCTTTTTTGGGCTTCCATGTCCAGCGTGGGGGCAGGACTCAGACACAGTGTGTTTGTCATAGTCCGAAGACTTCTTTTCTCTCATCGAGTCCCATGAAGGGAGGCTCTTGAAGCTGATGGTTTACAGCTCCGAGTCTGACTCCTGCCGGGAGGTGACTGTAACTCCCAACGCAGCCTGGGGTGGAGAGGGCAGGTACTCTGGGGTATCAGGGCTGCAGGGTGGGCCTAGGTGGGGGCTGAGTGGGCCTGGCCAGTGGGTGTGCTGAGGCCGGTGGTTGGTCCAGGAGGCATCCTTTAAGCCCGTCCAGTGTCATGGTGGGTTGGGTGGCAGAGGACAGGGAAGGCTGTGGGGCAACTCTGGACTGAATGTTTCTGCTTTTGGCAGTTTGGGGTGTGGTATCGGCTATGGATACCTGCACCGGATCCCAACTCAGCCCCCCAGCCACCACAAGAAGCCACCCAGTGCCTCACCACCTGGACCCACCACCCAGGACTCTCCTGCCCTTCCAGGCCCAGAGACAGGCTCCAGGCAGGGTGACTATGTGGAGGTATGGGGGGAGCATCTGCCGGCTGGGGAGGAGGAGGGCTCCGTGTGGGCAGAGGGGCTCCCAGCAGGGGAAAGAGGAGACTCTGCAGGCTGCCCTCACCAGGAGCCATTGCAAGGTCCATCCTCTGGATCCTGGTGGGAGCAGGTGGCCCCACCTGGGACAGTGACACCCACTTGGTTTTCCTGCCACTTGGGTCTGCAGGTGAGGGTAGTGGTGAGTTACTGGTTGTCAGTTCTATTTAACGGGTAGGAAACTGAGGCTCAGAGGTGGTCAGAGCCCTCCTCTGAGGCTCAGTGAATCTGGCAAAGCTGGCTCAGGGCTGGGCCTGCTTTCATCCTGCTGAGCAGGTCACCTGAGTGCCTTTGGGCACTGGGTTGGTGCCAGGAGGTGGAGGGGGACTGCTCTCCCATCATGCTGATATTCAAAGGCCCTCTTTTCTTGGGGGTCATTGCTGGAGCCTGGCCAGGGGGGCACCTGGGGCTCCCCAGCTGAGCAGGAAGTGCTCCTCCATGTCGGCACCACAGGGAGGCCAGCAGGCTGCCTGCCTCCATGTTCCCTGTGGTGCTTGCGGGCATGTGTGAGCTGGGGCAGGTTGCACTGCCCTGTCGCTGCCCACTCCTCTCCTCTCTTCTGCCCTGGCTCCCCTAGGCTTTGTTGCAGGCACCTGGCTCCCCCGGGGAGGGACAGCTTCCTGAGCCTGGGAGTCCTGGCCGTGGTGCTCCAGACTTTGGAGGACTTCCATGTGGCCTGGAGACCCCTCTCCAGCCCCCACCTCCAGTACAGCGAGTCATGGACCCAGGTAGCACACAGGCCCTGGGTGGGCTGAGGAACCCACTGCCAGGGTGCCGATGTGGGTCCCGGGCTGGGAGCTGCACTCTGGCAGGATTCAAACTGCTGTTGAATGTGCTGACCCCGATCTTATATATGCCGGAGGATTGCAGGTGGTCCAATCCAGTGTACAGTCCAGAGAAGAGGGCCTGCTCGGGTCACACATGCTGGGCACAGAGCAGGGTATGGGCTCACTGCTGTCTCCCGTGATGCCCAGCCTCAGACCCCTGCCTTGCTTTCCTCAGAAACAGGCAGTGGGAGGTCACCTCGGGGGTGGGAGTGGTCATCACCACGGGCTAAGGAGGTTCGTCTCAGAGTAGTCAGATGTCATCAGACCGCATCTCTCCCCTAGGTTTCCTGGACGTGTCGGGCATCTCCCTCTTGGACAGCAGCAATGCCAGTGTCTGGCCCAGCCTGTCCTCTGCCTCTGAGCTGACGTCCACAGCTGTCTCACCCTCAGGGCCGGAAGACGTCTGCTCCAGCAGCGGTTCTCAGCGTGGTGGTGAGTGCCTGGCACCTTCAGGCGCTTTCTGGTTGTTGGGAAGGCTGCCCTGTTTCTCAGACGGGTCGGTGGCTGGCCTGGTGGCATACAGCCACATAAGGCATTTGTACATTAGTGCTCCCTCCTGAATCAGTGATGGGGTGGGAGCTGGGAGTAGTGGGGTTCCTGCCCCAAGCCACACTGGCTCCCTCAGCCCCATCCTGTTTTCCAGGTGAGGCCACATGGTCTGGGTCAGAGTTTGAGGTCTCCTTCCCAGACAGCCCAGGCGCACAGGCCCAGTCAGACCACCTGCCTCAGCTGAGCCTGCCCGACAGCCTCACCTCTGCAGTCTCACCGGAAGATGGGCTGTCTGCCGAGCTGCTCGAAGCTCAGGCTGAGGAGGAGCCGGCAAGCACTGAGAGCCCAGAGAGCCCAGAGAGCCCAGATTTGGGGGCAGAGGTTGAGGGAGTGGCCATCCAGGGCCAGCCCTCTGCTCCTGAATAATGCCCTGGGCTATGACCCGACCCCTGCTGGTATCTCATGAGGGACGTGGGGGGGCAGCTCAGGCCACACTGCGGCCCAGCCTCCAGTGAGGTGCAGGGGGTGGGGCTTTTGTGTCCACTCAGACCCTACTGGTCTCCAAGAGATGACCTCCCAGCATTAATTCTGCCTGATGGTCCTGGCTTTTGGGGAATGTCAAAGAAGTCCTTTTGGGGTTAGTGGGGCCCGAATAAGTTTTGCAGGAGCTGGGGTGGGAGAGGATTCTTTGCTGCTCCAGCAGAGCAGTAAGCAGCCTTGTACCTTAGGTCCAGTGCTTGATCTGGTCACTGTGGCTGCCAGGTGTGAAGAGGGGGAGAGGGAGGGAGGGCTGGTATGGACATGTGCTCATCACTCAGCAGGGCCCCCCTTCATGTCCTGCATGGCTCAGCCAGCCCTGCTGTCCTGGAAGGTCCCCAGGCCCTGGGACCCCTGAAGCTCCAATCAGTGTCTCCTGTCATGTACCCTCATCACCATGTCACACTACACAGTTGGAGGGAATGGCAGTGACCTTGGCTCCTCCTGGGGTCGGGGGGCTGGAAATTCCTGGCTGGTCAGCAGACTCACCTGTGGGTGGACCACAGTTCTTCCCTGGGGCCTACAGCCCACAGTGCTAGCATCTCCAGGGGTACTCCTGTCTGCTCCCAAATGTCCTCAGCCATCTCTTCTACATATACAGGGCACCCAGCTAGCCCCAGTATTGAATCAAAGATGGCAGTTTTAAGTTCACCACCTAGGCAGACTAGAGCTGGTCCACCTGACGGATCTCTTCATGCACAGCTCCCACCCCGAGGGGGAGTGAGGAGCCTAGACCAGGGTGGGAGGGGCTCTTTTGCTCTCCCCTTAGCATTGAGGGAGGGTATCCCCTCCGGTGTCTTGGGAACGTAAGGCCAGATTGGATCTTCCGCTCAGGAGG